AGAGGCACAGAGAAGCAGAGACGAGAAATAAACACAGAAAAAGCTGATGATAAATCAGAGGTAGTTTAGTGCGACTCACTGTGCAACAAACTTGGAATTACTAAATATATTTTTGTGACTCACTGACATCGGAAATATGATTAAAAGTATAATTCAGTAAATATTTAGATTTAATTTATTAGTTTATTGTGTAACTTTTTGGTTGCTTGTTTCTACACAGCAAAAACCGGACCCTCCACTGGAAAAGTTACACACTGCATCAAAGCCCCAAGAGAACCGCAGCTTTTCTGTCTTACGACTTCTCTCTCGTGTTTCCCTTTCTCTGCGTACGTCACAGTGGGCGTGTACCGGTGACAGTGAAAACAGGGCTACATCGGAGCAATGACGTCTTATATACAATAAAATAAAGATGACTCAAAACATGCACGAATCACTGTACAACTTCGAGAGGGTCAAGGAGAATGTGAGTAGATCTTCTCTAACACTTGTGATGTGCCAAAGGGATTGTGAGAAGAACAAGTAATGCAGGTGTAAAAGCTCACGTCCTCCTTCCTCTAGATTTAAACAGGTGAGGAGGGAGGTGTGGGAAGGTACATCTTACATAACATGATAAAATATATAAGACTCACATGCCATCTGAGAGCGTCTGCAGACAGAACAGCCATGGTGGACAAACCCTTCCCTCTCTCCTTCCCCCTCTCCTTCTACCTCTCCGTCTCTCTGCCTCTCTGCTCCCTCCTCCGACGCTCCAGGTTGGGAAGCCACACCCACGTACCCCCCCCCCCACCTCCACCCTCACCCCACCCCCCACTCTGCACCCCCAGGCCCAGATGTGGTTTGAGTTAGACCCCTCCCCGCTCTCCTTAAGTACAGTTTGTAGCACTACTGCATTTGGATATAGACGTCACAACTTTCAAGACTGACTTTAGTTTAGATTAAGGACAGGTCACAATATCTATGGTAGAATTTGTTTTGACAGGTCCATGTTAGGAGTGTAATGGGACATGTATTTGTGCCAAACGGTTTTGGTACTGGACGGTCGGTTCATTGCAGGGCTGTGTACGAGTGAGTTCGCACAATTAGTGTGTGTTTACATTCGGTCACTTCATGTGCAGCTACACGGAAGGATCAGCTCTTTAATATTCACAAGGAAACTTGTCCGTGATTGGGGCAGTTTTTTCTGCAGCGCTTTATAGTTAGGATGGCCGCCTTCACAACAATCGCCCCCCATCTTGACTACGTCCCTCCAAACCACGTGAATCCTCGCAAAACTACAAGTCTCCAGTCCTCACTTTCACCTTTTGCCCTCATACCCGTGACCTTTGTCCCTTGTGTATTTTCAACCCCTCAGGACATTGTAACTGCAGCAGATCTGCACTTACTGCAGACAATGTGGACAAGTTGTTTTTTTTCTGGCCAAAAATATGGAAATTTACTAAAAATTGAGCTGGAACTGTTAGTACTTCACTTTACTTTTTGAAACGTTTTGTTTCCTGTTTACAAGGAATTTAAAAAAAAATAATATTTCATACATTTGTTGTTTAGTAAGCAAGCAAGTAAGTCTTTATTTATATAGCCCTTTTCACAGACATATGTCACAAAGACGCTTACAGAGCATTTATAGATTCATTATTCTTTTTTATTTGAGAATATTTTATTTTACTGATTAATATTACCAAGCAGCACTTTGCATTTATTTTATGTTCTCCTTTGCATAATGTTAGAACTAATTGTTGGTTTAATAAAAATACAAATAAATATCAAGCAAATGGTTTTGCACTGTACCAAAATGAACCGAACCTCGACAGTTAACGGTTTTGACCTCAAAACCGAGGTATGTACCGAACTGTGATTTGTGTACCGTTATACTCCTAGTCCATCTGTGTAACTGTTACAAAGCACAACATCATATCTAATAATGTAAGTGTTCAGTTGTAATGAATGTGTCTTGGTGTCAGAAATGCTCTGAATGAGTCTGATGATGATTCATGGACTTCAAAGCTGTGCAGGGTTTCTACCTATGATGCAACAATACTCAGCAAATTCAAATATCACGTTATCTGAGGTTCAGAGGCAAAGGAATTTTAACAGAGCATTACTGAACCCAGCGTGAGCTAAAAACAACTCCAGGTATGTTTTTAATGAGGAGACAAAGTAAAACCGGGATTAAAAGCTCAGAAAAGTTCAATTTGCGCGATGTGTGTCCTTAACAACTCGAATTATGAAATTACACGGTAAACTCCAATGTAAAGTGTTTTAATCTGACTATAATGTTTTCTCATGGTTAAAAGAATGTCAGATGTGGAACCATAGCAACTGTAAACACCTTTATTGGCTTTAATTCATGTTTAAACAGAAAACATTCCCCTTTCTTGTTTATAAACAGTCTTTGCATTTTGGATGGAATTTTCTATGTAGGTGACATAGGGAGAGGAATTCTGTTTTAGAACTCAATGCTACCTCATGTGTTTTCATACTTTTTGTAACATAGTCTGATACATGGTCCAAATAGAGTACTGTGTTCTGAATACTTAGAATACTTTTAAATTGAGTTGCATTTCAATTATAGAGTAAAGATGCAAAGTTTTCTCATTAGTTACGAGCAGTTTGAAGCCCAAATCAAAGACAAACTGTAAATCAAACTACTCCTACTAGTACTCGTACATATTCTCAATTCTCAGAAAACCGGTCATATGCACCGATGTCATGTCCATATACAGGGGGTCCCAAAAAATTGACATAATTTCGCAAGCGAATCATCTTGGCAATTCCTGTTGAAATAACCTCAAATTCTCACAGAATGTATAGAAACAGAAACTGAAGATTTTATATTTAATGTTTTATTTTTGTTCTGTTTTCAGGTTGAGCTGTTTACTCTCAAAGAGAAGTCATTTTGTGTCTTGGAATCTGCTCGCACACACTCACCCACGAAAAACTTCACCAACTGGCAAACAAATTTGGACTTTGTACCAAAAATGTAAAGAGTTCGGCTGTTTATGCAGGACTAAAGGATCTGGGAGGTCAAACTCTCGTTCTAGGAATCTGCGTTTCCAAACTTGTTCTCCTTATGGACTTCTTGGGGAACTTGCTCGACCTTCTTTTCTGATGTTGATGATGGTCTACCAGATGCTTTAGCCCTGCATAAGCAGCCAAACTCTTTATATTTTTTTTACCAAGTCCAAATTCGTTTACCAGTTGGTGAAGATTTTCCAAATGTTGCTTTGAAGCTGCACAGTCTTGGGTGAGTGTGTGCAGCAGATTCCAAGACAAAACATGACTTCACTTTGAGAGTGAACAGCTCAACCTGAAAAAAGAACCAAAATAAAAGATTAAATATAAAATCTTGATCTGTTTCAATATATTCTGTGAAAATAACAAGAACTGCCAAAATTATTGGCAAAGGTCAATCAATATCAGGGATGTAACAATAACTGAAATGTCATGATATCGTATTGTCAAAAGTCAAGACTCTTTGCTTATAGTCATTGTTATATTGTTATTTGCAACAATGGTTATTAAAAAAAAACAAAAAAACAGAGGGAACTGCATAGATCTGAATGCTTTGCTCTGCTTGACTGCAGACTACATGAAGAAATAACTGAGTTATTAAAGTCTTGTGAAGACATTAAAAAAGAAAAAGTAGCATATTCACTATTTTGTAGCCTCAACAAAATATAATTTCGTAAAAGTGTGTATCATTATATCCCTTATCAATATATGAATATATTGTACAGTCTGGGTGTCTGGTTAAGCCTGTGGTTATGATTGTGTAGGTGTATGTCTGTGTCTGTCTGCTCCAATCACACGGCACATCCCAGCAGCACTGACGACAGACTGGAATGCTCCTGTGTCAGCCCCTAATGAAAGGCTCTCCTGATGGGTGCTCACCAGAACCTCCACGCTCTCACCTGAATGAAACATCTTTACAATTACTTTTACTGGAGTTATTTTTTTTTGACATCGTGCCCTTTTACTCTTTGGGTAGAGTGCAGCCTACCAGTCTCTATGGAGGTTAACAGTTTTCTACCATGGTTTAAAGCTCACAAGCGTCCATTTTGCATAATATATGAACCTTTAAAAACTTAGAAAATAGAACTAGATCATTTCAAACAGTTTGTAGTGGTCTAAACGTTTTCCTCATTTACCTTATGCACCCTAATTATTCACCACAATGAGTTAATAATCACCTTTCACAACTTTCAGAGGTCAGAGACAGTTTTGCCATCACCATAGCGCCAACAACATATAGCATGCTAACACATACTTCCTGATTTTGCCTTCTAATTAGATGCAGGCACAGTATATCAGTATTGCGCTGAGACAAATTTTGTTCAAGTACATGTAAAAAAAATCAGACACACTGTCTTTACATTTCTGTCTGCTCTACCACTTATATCTGTACTTAAATAGAATAGGCCACTTCATACTGGCAAAAAACTGGACTAGCATATTGCGTTGTTGTTGAAATGTGTCTCTTATTTGGTACGTAAGGCACATCTGTTTGAGTGAGAAGAGAGTCAGACGTGTTCATAATTGCAGGCTGCAGACAGATGTCCCTCAGTAGTGATTCATATATGCTGCAGTAAGCTCTGCTGTATGTGCTAACACAGCACCCAGGTGCTCCTCAAACCACTATATGCTACTCATTATAACCACATTTTCATTCTGCAATTTGATGAAAAATGGAGGACAAGTGGACTGAGAAAGAGTTTAAATGACATTCTGAATGCTCAGCATGTATTCATTGCTGAATTTAAAAAAAAAAGAACAACAGCATATAGCCACAAGAGGCAATGATTGACCCTCGCGTGTGCCTACGCAATGCCCTGCAAATGCCACACCCTGGAAACACCCCACAAATGCTACGCTATGTTCATCTACACAAATGGGAGCCATTTGTATAGATGCAAATTGTCATACATTTTGTAAAATTGTGTGTGTCAGTGTGATAACATAGCAATGTTTATTGTGAGTTCTGACATGGTTGTGACAGGTGTTACCTGCTGTTCCTGGCTCTTCCTCTGCAGGCTGTGGTTCAGGGCCTCTTCAGCCTGCAGTCTGGAGCTGGTGCTACTCATCTCCTGCTCCCTCCTGCACAGACACACACACAGACACACACACACACGAGGTCAGTCCACTTGAGCATTTTATTCAAAGTGCGTATAACGGGTTAGACTATTTAACAACAGTGTTAACATCATTTCATGCAAAATTGTATTAACTATCTTGAGTATGATGAGTCTTTTTTTTTTTTTTTTTTTTTTTTTTGGCAGCAAATATGACATAGAAGTAATACATCAGTGTTACCTAGCAACCACACTGTCAACAAGGCCAAACCTGCTTAAATTACACAATGTTTAAGATTAGAGCATGGACTGTATAAAGACGTGGGGAGTGTCTGTCGCCCTTAGGGTTCATCTCCAGTCAAATGAAGCTTGCGATGCTTGTGGTTATACGGGCAAATTTGGAACCAAGCTCCATATTTAGGAAATGGAATTTATTTACTGACAAAATTGTGAAATAAACTGTAAATAAACCACACCAGCATCATGCAAACAATTTAAGATGAAAATGACGAGGCTCACAGCAGCGGTTACAGAGAGAGGGGGGACAATTCTGCAATGCAAAGTCAAATGGAAACAGAACACTTTCTAATTTGGAAAGTAGTTTTCAAATCCTCTACCTGATATTTATTCAATGAGAGTTGGTTTTATAGCTCAACAATACCAAACATACACAGATCTGACGGGTAACTTAGTCTGGTTTGTTCTCCATGCAGATAAAAAGAAAAGTTACAGAATGCACATTTAACACTGTGCAATACTTGACAAACACAAAACTAAGTATGTTGAAATAAAGTGAATATGCACAATATTCATCTCTATCCTGCTTTACAAAGAGCCCCTGACTTGACTTGCTCTGATAGACATTTCTCTAATTTCGCTCATTGTCCCAATCCATCAGCTGTGCATCCAGGCGTGCACTTTTGATTTATTACTGTCAATGTAACTAATGTACCTGCCAAACGTAACATGCCCGGACCTCATCTGTGCCATGTTCACAACCCCTGTGCACCAGAAACCTCCTCAAGTTACGGCAAACGCATAGAGACATGTTGGTATGGGAGCCTGCAGGGACAAACTTCAAAGCTCGGGAACCATAATGAGGAGGAGTATCATAACCTCTAGATTCACATGGCCCCGGAGCAGAGGTATCATGTCCAACTGTCAGGGGCGTTTGAAGCTTTATATCGTGGGTTGTGAAAAATGAGTAACTTTTCGCCCTCCGTGTGAGCTGTTGTAACATTTATGAGTGCTTTTATGGAATGCATCATATTTGGCTCACATTTCTGATATAGTGCATACGCAGTTCTTTTTCTCTTTTCTCGGACGTGGGATTACAAGTTTTTGATTAACAGTTGAAGTCGGGTTCAGAACAGAGAGGTCTGACATGAGGTTGACAAATTGAGCATAATGCACACATGTGTACAAGACACATCTGGAGTCTGTTAAACAAGATGAAGGTTTGGGTGTTAGAGAGTGTTGAAAAAACTCTAATCATTTTGTGAAGCAGCTTAGATCTAAATCTAGATGAATGTGTGATCACAATAACAACATGAAGACATTAGTCGCATACAAGTTTATGAGTTCTTCATTCACTCCACATTCAGTGTGGTAAACTACTACTGCAGCCACAGTTCAGCCTGTTCGACCATCAGTAATCACTCACCACTTTCATACTAGGCAATGCAGGGGAAGTGCCTTGCTTAAGGACACAATGACAGTTTGCACTTGAGTCACTGCTGCCTCACTGTGGCACTCGGCATTTCCATCGGTTTACCATCCAAGAACTAATCGGACTCAACCCTGCATAGTTTCAGAGATCAGTGAAACCATGGGTACAGATCCATCAAAATATGGTAAAAACATGAAAAACATGAAAAAAGAACTAGTTCATTTTAAACAGTTTGAATAATGCAAACATAATAATGTTGTACATTCCACATCTGCACTTTGAAAAGGTCATTCATGCATTTATGACCTCATGACTCGATTACTGTAACTCTTTGTCTGCTGCATTGACCAGGCCCAGCTCAGCCGCCCACAGTGTGGTCCAGAATGCAGCAGCTTCTTTTAACTGGAAAGAAGTGAAGGGACCACATCACTCCTGTTCTTAAATCTCTGCACTGGCTCCCTGTACATTTTAGAATCCATTTAAAAAAAAATCAAATGATTGTTTTTAAGAGTCTTGATGGCACCTGCCTATTTGAACTCCTTCAGCCCCATGTCCCATCCAGAGGTCTGCGCTCTGCAGACCAGCACCTCCTGCTGTCCCCAGGACCAGACTGAGGACCGCAGGAGACGGGACCTTCTCTATGGTCGGTCCACGACTGTGGAACACTTTGCCTTTGCACATTAGAAGTGCACAGTCAGTGGAGCACTTTAAATCCTTTAAATCCTTGCTCAAAATGCATGTTTTGTCCTTGGAATTTGCCCAGAGTTAGGAAGAGACACTTTGGCCTTGCTGTTATTATTATTTTTATTATTATTATTATTCATGTTTTATTTCACTCTAAATGTTGTTCAGCATTTTGGTAAGCTTTGGCTGTTTAAAATGTGCTATACAAATACATTTGATTTGAAAGTCTGAGCATCTTAATTATTCACTGCAATTTGTGTGTGGAATCCCTCAGTCGTCCAGGCAGAATCCATGACAAAGAAGAAATTCAATTTGTCAACTGGACAAATGTTTATTTAGGTTGAAAACAATTCGCAGCTCATCCAAGCTGCTTCTTCAGTTCTGGTCAGACTCTGGAGGACACTTTCTTATATCTGCCTGGGGTTTTAAAACCTAAAACAAAGAGAACAACACGGGTAACCAGGTCAGGGCCAGAGGTGTGAAAACACTCATCATGTGCCTGAATGATTCTGCTAATATGTCCCTCACTCAGTCACTCAGATGGAGATGAACAGGCCGAGCTACAAACAGAAACTATAAACAGGTAGGTGTGTTAGTTTCAGAGTAGTTTCAGTGTCGTTAGCTCCTCGCTTCAGACAGATATAAGGAAGTGTCCACCAGCGTCTGACCAGAATTGAAGAAGCAACTTGGATGAGCTGTGAAATGTATTCAACCTAAATAACCGTTTGTCCAGTTGACAAATTGAATTTCTCCTTTGCTATTCACTGCAGTGAGTTTAAAGATGATTTATTATTTAGAATATCATTCGTCAGAGGTTTAACCAAGTCATTGTTTTGCAAGTCTCAAGTAAGTTTCAAGTCTTTAAACCAAAGAACCAAATATAGCTTAGATTTTTGCAATTTATATGAATTTTAAACTAAACTGTACTTAAAAAGTCAAGTTATATTTATACATGAGTATTTATAGAGCATATTAAAATTGTAGAAATTAATGTAGTTAATTTTTCTTTTTTAAATGTCTTAGTGTGAATCATTATGGTCAGAATAGAAAGAATTCAGATTTATAAGTGCTTCTCAAGTCAAGTCCCAAGTCTGAGTCAGTTTTATCAAGTGAAGTCTCAAGTCCTAAAAATAGTGACTCAACTCTCGCAAGTCCCCACCTCTGTTATTAGTAAATATGTGGCAATGAGTTAGAGCAATATTGATATAAGTTTTGGTCGTTGGTCCGTTGTATGGTCTATTGTGGTACCTATGTAATCATCTACTTTCTTCTTCCATTGCACTGAAAATACCACAGCTTTGGCAACACAAAACAAGATATCACAAAGCCTATAGTCTAAGATGTGTGAGTTGCATGCTAGTCCGACCGTTTGACGTGCTCCTCCATCCCGTTCCTCTGCTCCATGGTCCCTGGTCCGTTCAGAGTCTCAGGCCTGTGCTTCTTCTCCAGCTCTGACCGCAGCTGACGCTCTTCATCCAACTGGTACTCCAACTGCACCCCCCAAAACACAAAGAAATCGTAAAACATCTGGTCATAAAAGGCACACTCCAGGCTACAATTCACTTTACTACAAAAGCCAAGTGCTAGAGTTGCGCTGGTGATCAATCATCTTTAGACGTTTATGAGCTCAGGGCTTCAAACACGGCAATGTACAGGACCTATAGAGGGGAGGGTTACAATGAAGGGTAATGAACCAGAGAGCTCCTTTTACTGTACACAACTGCTGCGGGTATTTACAGCATTTTAATGAGGGTATTACGTTAAATCTACTGCTAGATTTGTGTAGCCATATTTTATGAAATGACTTTGTTAATTAGCTGTTACTGACTTAATTAGATAATTGCTGGATTTCAGACAACGTCACAAAAAGCAGATGATGGTCAGGAAGTAAAGACAGACACACAGACAGAACCCTGTTTACCTCTGTTGACTCGGCATTAAAACAAAAATTGCCTAAATTCTGTGCAGTCTATGGTTGCTACAACTGCTCTAATACCTCCATACCGAAAGTGTCGTGTCACAAGGGAGTCAGAGCGTGTTTACATGAGAACGCTTGCGGGTAAAAACAACTAAATATTTTATCAGAAGTGTCTTTTGTTTAGACCAGATATGTAAAACTCAGACCCGGGGGCCAAATTTGGATTGTAAGATCATATCAAATTTCTAAAATGTTGTTATTATTTTATATTATGCTTGTTCTGGATTCAATGTTTAAGCAAAACTATTATTAAACATTTATTTTAATAAGAGAAAGTTTAACATTACATATCTCGAAAGAAAAGAAAACATGCAGATGTTGGAATTTTTAAATAAATATTTAGTTTGTCCCACGACTTAGTCCCAGTTTTTAATTTTGGCTTCGATGAATTTGAGTTTGACACTCATGGTTTAGACAGTGACGATGTTTTTGGAGCTTAAAAATCACAAAAATCTGAAACTACCACCACCTCCAAAGTGGAAAAGTTGAATACGCTCTGCCGTAGCCTTTCCATCTACACTGCCCAAGACACAAAACTCTGGTCAGATGTGCTCAGGTCGTGTACGTGTTTACGTCACATACATACAATACAGAAACTTGCATGCATACATGATCGAATTCCACACACTTTTGCGTCGCCGTACACATGCAGATTTCCTCCCGAAAACACTCATCTAAACGCAGAATTATACGTGAAGACTCACGCCTCTTTTGCGTCTTCTGTTCAGACCGTCATCATATAAACGTAGGCTCAGTTTAAAAAAAATGTACAGAAAAAAAGACGACAAAAATGGATCAACAATTTCCAGCTAAAAACAGGAGGCGCAGAAACGGACGATGCTAGAGTTTGCAACGACCACTTTGTAACAGGCAAGACTGTGTCATTTATTAATTAATATAGCAAAAAGCTTTATGTGGTGCTACTGTTGTAATTTGTTGTAACCCAACCAGATTTTTTTTATTATTATTATTTTTTAAAGGATTTCATTTGACCCAATGATGTTCATTTTGTCCATGAAATCCTTTAAATTAAGCAGCCGAAACATGTCAACAAGGTAAATACACTTTACTGCATTGTCTTTAAAAAGAACCTAAGAAGTTAAAGGATTTCATTTGGCTTGCATAGTAATACGAGATCTGCAGCAGCAGATCATTTTTTATATCCATCGTCTCAGCGCCGGGAATATCCTCCAAATTGTAAGAAAAGTCAAACTTCTCCATGTCGTACAGGTCAAAATCTATATTTAGACTTATTTTTTTCCACAATAGCGGGACTGTGCCCATTCAAACTTTGAGCGTACCCGTCGTCACCCATCGTGCTGTGTTTTGAAACAGAGCAAAAAACTTCCTGCTTTGCGCATTATCAGGGTCACGTGAGTGTAACCCGGCAATGAAATGTAGAGCTATGGTTATTTATTTATTTTTATTATTTTATTATTTTATTTTTTTTATAATAATACTGATTGCTGTTGAGTGTCCATGGGCTACTTTCAAAATGGGGTACGGGATTTTCAAACTGTGAAATGAGGAAGTATTGGTTAAATGATTATCCGTGGTCTTAATGAAAACTAGAAATCTATGCCTGCAATCTCAGTTAAAGAAGCTATACCTGTTTTGTGTGTGTGTGTGTTTGTTTTTCTTAAAAATGTGGAGAAAAAAAACAGGACTAGTCCATTTTAAACTTTTTTGTTTGTTTGTTTGTTTGTTTGTTTTTTCAGCTTTCAGAGTCATGTTGTTGTTTTGCAGAGAGTAATACTCTATAATTTGATGCCGACAGCAAACATCAGTCTCATTTTGACCCTAAAAGCTGCTTTTACAATATATGTACTGGGACAAAAAACAGTCCAGGTAGAATCCATGGCAAAAGAAGAAAGTCAATTTGTCAACTGGACAAAAGGTTATTTTGGTTGAATACATTTCGCAGATCATCCAAGCTGCTTCTTCAGTTCTGGTCAGACGATGGTGGACACTGCCTTATATCTGTCTGAAGGGAGGAGCTAACTACACTGAAACTACTCTGAAACTAACACACACACTTGTTTACAGTTTCTGTTTGACCAGAAATGAAGCAGCAGCTTGGATGAGCTGGAAAACATATTTGACCAAAATAAACCATTGTCCAGTTGGCAAATTGAATTTCCCCTTGTGCCACCCTTTACTTTGTTGACAAAGCTGCAAACCCTCGGCCTGGAGTCTCCTGAAATGGTTTCCACTTGACAGCTGTGCCGCGTGAGGGTCAAGAAATGCCAAACGCAAAGCAGTGATGAAAGCAAAGGGTAAAGGTTATTTACAAATGTTTAATCTAAAACAAGTTTGGAGATATTTTGAGTGTGTTTTTGTTTACATGTGTTTTCCATGTGTCATTCATTGTTTTAATGCCTTCAGTGAAAATCTACAATGTAAATAATCATGGATATAAAGAAGAAACAGAAATACAGTGGAGAGCCAGGCCTGCTCAGTTTAAGGATGTTTTTCGGATGGTTTTTCGTGGTATGTTTTGTCATAAAACATTTGTAACACTGAATAAATGCAAAATCATATACTATATAACATTTCAGACAGTAACCATCCTTCCACCACCACAAAGTTACATAGTGCTTCTTTAAAACACGAGTAAAACTGATGTAAATAACTACTAAAATAAATCTCTACTCACGTCTTGAGCGTGCATCTGCAGCTGGCTCCTCTGCTTGGTGAGGCTCTCCACCTTCTCCTCTTCGCTCTGGAGGTCCTCGATGGCCTGCTGGAGGAGGAAGAGCTCATGAGACCACGCCTGGAGAGCACATGTCCATCTCCTGATCAAACATTTGAACAGCCTGTCATGACTGGTGTGCATTAGAGCTGCAACAGTTTCGGTCACTCCCAAAACATCAATAGTCCGTCATATGGCACTGATAAAACTATATTCTGCATCTACTGTGATATTCTAAGGATCTGGGTGTAAGATTTGGATTTTAAATTTCATAAACTCAGCCTGTGTTCAAATCAAATATAGCTTCTTTTGTTGATTTTAGTTTTAATGTTGATTTATAATATGGTGCTTTCATTCTCAAGGAGTTTGTCGAATGACCAGGATCATGTTGAGCAGTTAATACGAACATTTTAAGACCAAAATGACACAAGAGCAGTTACAAGAAGCGTGGTGGCAACTTTTCAGTGTAAAGTCAATTGGAAACGAGGAGTCCATAGCCGGTGTTCTGTCGAAATGAACTCCCAGCAGCCTAAACACAGTGACGTCTATCGTTTCATGCTACCCTGTCGAAATAGGCGACCTTACGTTTTTCTGTTTACAGTTTTATAGATCTAATAAAAGCCAAACTCTGACCCTGACCTACCCAGTTTGACACATATTTCTTTGGATTAGAGACAGTTTATCCATTGAATAATGCTCCCACTGTAGATTCACCATTAGTCACTCATTTAGATGAATTTGGGCAGAGAAACTCATTTCCACAGGCCGATATCTTCTATCAAATAAGACTCCAACTACATAAGAGAAAAAAAATGACTGGAAACACTGAAATCTTTATATTAAATAGTGTTAAAGATATAATATTTAACGCTAATATCATAGGCTACAGTGTGAATTTCCAGTTATAATATAGTGATATTTTATTTATACAGTTCCTTTCTAAACAAAGTTACAGAGTTTTCTACACATGGAAACAAAATAAAATATGAAGTGATGAAAATGATAACGATAAAATCAAATATTAAATCCAGACTATTCAGTCATCTAATGTAGGTTTTCTGCTGCAAATCTAGCAGCACATGTTGATGTTTAACTGGTCAAAACAGACAATAAAACCAATACACTTTTAAAATGTGACTTGTTACTCCACTTCTGCTTCGGGAGCTCAAACTGACAGCACTTAAACTGTAACAGAGCTTGGGGGTTGTGTGCATGTTTAGTAGCTCTAGGAAGCTCAAATCAACGGGTAGACCATTTTGACAGGACATCAGAAGTGCACCCATGAACACTTCTTATGTGGAACGCTGCAAAAAGTGGGTTAGTTCATTTATATATACAGTCTATGGTGCTAATGCAGCCATTGCAGCTCAGTGAATGAATTCTTGAGATTTTGAGCTTTCACATGAGGAAAGATAAAACAAACAAAAAAACACTTGGATGTGTCATCTATCTGTAGGTTTAGGCACTCACCCAGGCAGTTGTGATTGTAGGAGCTTTTTTAAAAACTGTAAGAGCACAGAACACATAACTTAAGCTGAACATTAGGTTAATGATGCAAAATAATGAGATGCCAGTTCTAATGCATGAACCTTGATTTTACAGCCTTGACCTTTTACAAAATAGTGATTCAGTTTGGTGTTGCTGAATTGTCATAAGACTGTCTGTAATGGCGTTTGAGTAGGGTGACCAGATTTTCAAAATCAAAAACTGGGACACTCCCAGTTTGGAGTGATTGGTAATAATAAAATAGTGAAACCAGTGCATACTTAAGGAGAATTGTTATTCACTCAGCCCATTCATATTTATTCATAACTAACATGTGAGTCAGTAAAGTCACATCTTCTCAGTGTTTTTTGGTCATTTTTAAGCAGCTTTATTCTGTATTTTACTAAAACAAATGACAATTTATGTCTCTCTTGGGGTACAACCGTTATTACAACATACCGCTACTCTGAGAGACCCCCACTCCGACAATCCTCCATTCTAACATCCCCCCATTCTGACACCTTTTATGTCGCCATTCTGACAACCTACTCATAGTTTGGAGCGTGAACTTTTTTTTCCTTGTATACATTGCGTGGACCGCACCTCTAAACCAGAACTAAATCCAGGACTAAATCAAGAGTAAAACCAGGACCAAAATCAGGACTAAAACCAGGTCTAAACCAGGATTTAACCACAACTAAACCATGCCGTGCACACCGCGCCTCCTACATCTCCAGTCTGTGAAAATATTGTCCCGTAAAGAGCGGCACCACAACTCAATAATGACCTTATCTGTCAAATGGTGAAATGTTGACATTAAAAAAAAAAAAAGCTAAAGTACCACCACTCTGACCAAGGGAAAAAAAAATGTCGGAGTGCAGGGACGTTTGATTTAGAAAAGGGACAATTAGACGTCAATGACGAAGTGGCGGTAAGTCGGAATGGCAGCATGTAACTCCTCTCTTTAAAGTTGGCAGGGATCAGATTGGTCAAAAATAGGGACACCTGAGATATTTCTTGTGTAAACCTGGGACAAATCACTCATTTTGTACAAATCTGCTGGGACAGAGAACACAGGGCTCAAAACTGGGACTGTCCCGGGTAAACAGTCTAGTCATCTGCGTTTGAGACATTTGCAGAATTTGAGTCAATCATGGTAGTTATTAACTTGACTATATTTTTCTTTTTTTCTTTTTAATGTTTGTCCACAACTCATATCAGTTAAAAAGAGCTTGCAGTTACAAAACCTTTATTTTTAGAAACTCACCGTATCACAAAACACAATAAATATTACACTAAAGTCAGTCAATGTTTGCGATATTTAACATAAAATGAACATGTTTAAAGAGTAAAAGAAACTGAGAGCATGTAGAAGTAGTTTGTATGTTTCTGTAGTAACCAACCAAAACTTCTAACTAAAGTGTTGCATATTGAATTTTGACCCAAATGTAGTCTAGTTTGGAGGTGAGCACTTGTCAGTATTAGAAGCACGTGCTGTACGTTAGCTGGCGGTGTTCGCTGACAGATGTTCATTGATCACACTGGCTCTTTAGCGCTCCCTCAGACATGTGCTTCTGTTTAGGGCCTGACAGTTCTACTACTCCGTTGGGCAGCGGCTAAGTGCTCCCCGCAGAGACAGCACGATCAGTTACAGCTCCAGTTAACATCATCATTAACTAAAGTGACATGAGGGTCACTTTTAGACCTTTTAAGAGGTGTACTGAAACAAAAGAAGTAGGAGCAGTGTGCAGGGGGAGGGGGCAGTAGGGGGACGCCTTGAAATATCTGAGTGGGGATTGTGGTCAGCAGTAGTGGGGCGTCTCCTAAAAAGTTATAGCAATTTTTTTTTGGTACTAAATCAAAAACACAGAAATGGCTTTATAGGCCAAAAATACAGTATCAGGTCTGGCCTTTTCCCCCCTTTAACAGCACATTTTATTCAAAACATTTTAATAGGCTAGAGATGAAAGTTCTATAACTATATTTTCTTATTTGCTTCTATGTAAACTAATAAAAGATGGTGTCTAAAAAACTTGAAAAACATCATTTGCAGAAGTCAAAGTTACTCTTCACTTATCTAATTGCATCAGTTTTATAAAGCACTTTCTTGGACACTCAAAGATGCTTCACAGATCATTGTTCATTCACTCCACACTCAGTGGTAGTAAACTACTATTGTAGCCACAGCTGCCCTGGGGCAGACCAATGGAAGTGAGGCTGCCAATCTGCACCATCGGCCCCTCAGACCACCATCCTACCATTCTACCTATCGCTCACACACACACACACACACACCACTTTCATACTAAGCAATGTGGGAGAAGTGTGCCTTGCACAAAGACACAATGACAGTTTTTTTTTTTTTTTTTTTTTTCACGACTGGCGCCCTCCCTGTGGCACCTGATTTTCTCAGTGGTCTCCCACCCAAGTCCTGACCAGGCCTGGTCCTGCTGAGCTTCAGAGATGAAGCCTGACAAACTTGTATGGTCACTGTCTGCATTCCTACTAACTAAATATTCACCACAATGAGTTTAGAAGCACATTTCATAACTTTCAACAACTAGGATGCTAACAGCATACTTCCTGATTCTCAGAAGATAAAATAATTTTTTATTTAGTGCAGACCACACAGACAATGTTTTCATTTACCTCAAGAGCAGCTTTGCTTATGCAACACAGTATCTGTACTGGTGTAAATACATGTTGCTGTACTACATATGAACAGAGGACCACAGACTGGGACTGTCTCCCAGAAACACCAGTATCACTGGATTTGTCCCAGAGGAACATTATAAGCATGCTTACAAAACTGAGTCTAAAGTAACTATAGATACCCCACCACATATCAATCCAAATGCCCTTTGCCCCTCAATTCCACATGCTGTCCTTGATGTCCATGTGTGTGTAGTGTGAGAGTTCAGACCTGGCTGAGCTCCAGCAGATGTTCTCTCTCCTCCTGAAGCTTCCTCAGCTCCTCTTCTCTTTGCTCCAGTGTCTGCAGCAGCCTCCGCACCTCGCTCTCACTCGTCTGAAACACACACACCAAGAACATCTTCAAACCATCCTTATGGAGGAGATGTGATCTCCACACACACATCAGTGTATAGTAGAAACATCTGAGTGACACATGAGGGCACGCTATGACAGATCCAGAGCACTCCATACACTTCAAAGCACTGTCCATTTGTTTTCATTGGAAAAGAAAAGTCTGAGCTGGAGTGTGTGCAAAGTCTGTACTTAAACACAACCATGAGCATAGGGAGGGATACAATTGGCAAATCTCTGTTTCACCCCTAGTGTATTTCTCCCTCTAGTGGACACACTGCTGACTGGAGCTTGGTGAATCAGCAAATGAGTAGTATGTAGTGATGGACGAATGGAGCCTCGTGAAGCATTGACACCTCAGTCACAATATTGTCTCAAATGGTTCGACGTGTCTGAGGCTTTGGAGAAACACTGACCTCTAGTGGACAAATTTAACCATTGGCACACAGGTGTCTCAGCATCGATGAAGTATTGTTAGTGTAAGACAATACTTGTGTGCAGAGCGACACCGTACAACAACAACAACAATAATGATGATTTAAAATAATAATATTAATAAAGAGCAACATAAATAGCTGCTGTAAATAAGAAAATACATGGGATGTGATTGGCCAAGGACAAAAAAGCAGGAAAATATATAGAACCATAGTGTGGCGGCGCGACAATGAAACGTGCGGCAACAGTGCAGCCATTCCACACAATCACCTCATAATATACAAACATTTAGTGGCAACTCAGAAATTTCATCATTGGAAAACAATTAACTTGAGAAGAAAAAAAAAACATACATGCCAAACAATAGGTGCTGACATTTACGGAAAAAAATCAAACAACCAAAGAACAGTGTGCAAAGAACAGAGAAAAAGAGAGAGAGAAAGATAAAGAAAGATAAAGACAGACACAGAGAAAGAGACAGAGAAAGAGAGAAAAAGACAGACAGACATAGAGAGGGAGAGAAAGAGAAAGAGAGAGAAAAAGATAGAGACAGACATAAAGAGACAGAGAAAGAGAGAGAAAGAGAGAGACAGACAGAGAGAAAGATAGAGAAAGAGAGAGAAAGAGAGAGACAGACAGAGAGAAAGATAGAGAAAGAGAGAGAAAGATAGAGACAGAGAGCGAAAGAGACAGAGAGAAAGTTGTTGGTGTGTTGGACAAAATTGCACTTGCTGTGACAAAATGTAGTCTATTTCTGAGCCACTTTAAGATATAATAAATGAAATTATAATACAATTATGACAATCCTTAGTTTTTAATCACTGTACACAAAGTGCAGTGCACATGGACTTGAGTTTTCCACCAGTTCACTGACAGTGTTATTATGCAGCATGTCTGATCATGTGCTATAGATAAACTTTAACTATTACTATTCTAGTCATCATCATGGCCGTTGCTGTTGTTATTGTGTAGTTATTATGTTACACTATTATGTTTTTATGGGGCCTACACAACATTCTGTAATAAGCAACATAAGTGCACCTGATTATAAGGCACATTAAGCAGAAGTGCGCGTCCCAGAAGAAACAGCGATCGAGATGCCGAATTTTTTCGCCGCATACAGACTGAACCAGGACCGAACCAGCAGGACTAAACCGGTACTAACCTTGGAGTTGAGCGCAAAAGAGAGCGGAGCAGAGTGTCCACGCTCCGCGGAGCAAGGTGTGCACGGAGCGGGGTGTCCATAACGCGTGATCAGGCCCTGTGGCGCGCGGAGCTCTGCGCAGTGTCGGTCCCTCCCCCTACTGCTTCTCTCTGCGTGTCAATCGCTTCAGTGTATCGAAGCGTTTCATTGGCTCAGCGAATATTCCGCTCTGTGATTGGTTCAGAGTGTTCAGCGCACTTCTGTGGTTTGACAAGCGCTAAACTGCTACAGTATAAAAGATGCACCAATATTTCTTAAAAATGTTGGGTAGTGAGGAGTATTGTGTGACGTTAGTGGTGATTATGGAGACTCTTGGCGACTTTTGGCATTTGTTTCATTTTCGATGGCGTCTACAAGTGGAAAAAGTGATCCATGGTTTGGGATCACTTTGATCTAATTCCACCTAACAAGGTAACACCTATTTTCTTATTTACAGCATGTTATTTATGTTGCTTTTACATATTATATTAAATCATCATCATTATTATCATTGTTGTTGTTGGTACGGCGTATTGTCTTATTGTTTGTCCACTAGAGGTCAGTGTTTGTCCGAGGCCTCAGACACGTCGAACCATCTGAGACAATATTGCGACTGAGGTGTCAATGCTTCACGAGGCTCCATTCTCCCATCACTAATGATCATGTCTCGGAACAGTTAGTTTTACTCAAGTTTGAAACAATGAAAAACATTTTAGCAGCAATAAAAGGATCCATAAGTCACCTATTTGGACATTAAATGTAGAACATTTCTTTTCTTTTCAACATTCAATTGAACCAGCAATATTGGAACAAAATAGTCAGTAGAACTGTATACTACAGACCTACATGGAGATTGTGACAAGGTGACCCACCAAGATATTTTTTGGTCTTTGGTTAACAATGGTTTAAAGGCTTTATATTACAGAGAGCTTTAAGCCATTAAAGGACCAGTACACACCAAAATCACTTGTTTCTACTGATGATCTGTGTAAATGGGTCTAAAATATAAATGTATCCCTATCATTTAGATATACACATTTTAGTGCATATTTGTTAAAAATCTGACTTTTGGGTCAAACCTGTGTCTGTAACGGGCTCTTTAGGATCAACTATGGTCAGTACATTTGCATTTTCAGGTTGGACTAACGGCCGCTGATGAGATGCAGGTTTTTTACTTGAGTACAGCCACTGGTGTCTTTGGGCGGGATGTGAAGAGCCCCCCTCAGCCCCGCCTCCACCTGGCACCGCTGGTCACCGTGATGTCCCACCGTTTCTGGAGAAAAGGGAAACGGCGTGATCTGAGCACAAATGTTTGCTCTGTTTCAAAGTCTGGAGTGCACCGATCCGCGTCGTGTTGGATTGTTGTGGCTGTCCATCAGTTGTCAATCATCGCTCATTCAACGATTTCTCATATTTAGCTTCAGAAGGGTGTTTAATATCTCTTGGACTTGGACTTTTAACCATATATTGTCTTGCATTTGAGGCTTGAGAGCTCAGAAAATGTACTGTAGTTCCCATTAACACCCTACTCTACTTTGTACTTGCACGCAGTTATTAAAACCATGACCATCGAGAATTGTTTTGAAGCTTTGTCACCATGTATGCTTTCCACAAAAATGTTGAACCAAACTTCATTAGGGTCATATGAGGTCAAGTCTTCGTTTTGTAAATTTGTCAGGACTCACAAAGCATTCTCCGTTTACAAAGCGAGCATTTCCAGCTAATCTTTGCGACAAAAGAAGTACCCCGCTCCTTCTCTGACAAATCCTTAAGTCAACGGAGCTCGCAGGCACGTCCCATCTTGCCTCCTCTTCTCTGGACATATTAGTAGAACTATTACCCGGGAACTTTATCGGATAAGTGCTGTGTGTTTCAGAATGTTGGGAGTTTTGTGTCTGGTGGATAATTTCTCCAATGATTCTCTCCACTTTGGGCGGCCAGGTTTGTACAGTGATGTGACGGCGGTGCATTCTTGTGGCATTCCAGAACCTTGATAGCATCTTAATCCTTTAGTACAGTACACAGAGGTTGGAGAGCGGAGCATATCTACAGAACAGAGAAGAGCTGCAGGCGTGGAACTGCCCATCCTCACTCCTGACAGCTTCTTCAGCCATTACCTCACAAAGAAAGATGGACGTGGTGTGTGGCATGAGGGACAGACACACAGGACGTTTGTTTGCGGAGTTCATTTGTGTTTCTGTGTGGGGTTTACCTGATCTCCCCGAGTCAGTGGGTGGCATTCTTCTGGTTTATCCCATCAGCCTAACCTCCCGCTGGGGACTTGTGGAGAGAAGTCCATTGGCACTGGGTTTTTTGTTTCGATCTGAATCAAGTATGCCAAGTACTACTAGGTCTATACCAAAGTGTTTCTCACAGCAAATAAGTTCAATAGAGACCATAAAGCAGTTGTAAAGCCCCCAGAGAATCGGTGCTGTATGTCTTGTTGGTGCATATGAACACTGAACATTTTACAAAACTCAACTTACTGTATGTCACATTTAAGCAGAAAAAGTTTTTTTTTTTATTCTCCATTGAAATAAATGGAATCCCCGTTTACCCGAAAGTGCCACCACAAGAAAGCGTTTTTTAGTAGCATTTAGAGACAAATAATAAGGTGAATAAACGAAATACAACAAATATAACGTAACCTGAAAGCTTCCCTGCTTAATCTGACAAGAACCTTTATAGTAATGTGCGTTATCAAGAGTTCTGCTTTAGTTCAGATAGGCACCAGTATGAAACCAGACATGCCACAAAGGGCAGATCCAAATGAAAGTAAAAACAAACCATTGAAGAAGCTGTAAAATACACATCAGTGTCTGCTTGGAATAATCTACCAAGAGATGTTACTATTACAAATACTAAACATCAATTTAAAAGGCATCTTGTTGCGCATCAGTAGTAGCCAGACTGGTGCCACCTAGTGCCTCCGCTCAATTTAAATTTCAATTCAATTTCAATTTCAATTTTTCCAGCGACAAGGTCAGGAATTGGAATACACTAGACAGTTTGCAAGATCCCCAGAAGTTGTAGACCGCGCACCGGCCAATCAGTGAAGAGCTGAACCAACCTGAGTTGAGATAGCAGCTCCATACACTATCCTCCTTTGTACTTCCTCTGTCAAATACAAATTTTGCATTTTTATTGCACCTTTAATTCGCAAGTTCATCTTGCAGAAACAACAATGATCATTGACAGACATGGTCACTCTCTGCTTTGTTTGCTGTTGATTACTTGGACACCACTGAGTGTTCCGGCACATTAAATATGTCACGACCATATAGCAAAGATTCATTAAATTAAAAAAAAACCTACCCGTCTACCCTTGAGCGAACAAATCCTCATGCAGTCAGGTCAGACTGTTTCCACAAAGTGAAACTAGCTGATGAATCAGGCCACAGCAGTAGTGTCCCAAAAAGACAAATCTCTAACTGTTGTGGTGCAGTTGCAATGATGTCTGTATATTGTTATTATGATGTCAGTTCTGTATCTAAATGCCCCATAAAATAAATAAATACAAATTTAAACTCCTCCTCTGCTCCTCTGCTGTATGCTGCAAAATACAGAGAAGCAATTCATGAATTGCAGTCTATTGCATCACAGCAGAGTTTGTGCACCAGAGTGAGACTGTCTAATATCAGAATCAGAAAAAAAAACTGAGAACGTCGACACATCTCAATTGAGCTCAACGGTCTTGTTTACTTTGAAGCCTGTACAGGTTCTGAAAGTAATTCTCCCATAAATTTTTCCCATCAACAATGGATGCCAGCCAACTCTCTGGAAATGTCTGTCTAAAATGTTGTTGTGTAAAGTCTAAAGCACGCATTTAAAACTTGAAATGGGGCTATATGTATTAATAACTTAGCATGAGAAATGTACTTACAGGACCTGGAGGGAGTTGGGTCACTGTTGAGCTTCATATACAGTACTGTACGTTTATGGCAGTTTTACGATATACTGCTGATTGCAACACAATATTCCCTCACAGTTAACATATTATTAAAACATATTTTATGTTTCTGTAATTAATAAACCAAATTTAACACTGCTTGACAAGTACACATATCACGCCTGTTAGTATAGTTAGGATAGTTTGCATAAAACAAGCCTCAAATGTATTAAAGATTGATTCTAAAGTGAAAAAGAGTTACCCACAGTGGCCACCCTCTGCTCCAGTGTGGCGCTGTATCCGTCCCAGTCCAGCTCCTCAGGCTCGGCTTCGCACTCGGTCTGCTTCACATTAGCCTCTTCAGATCCCCCATCACGACACGACTGTTTCTTTTTAGGACGTTTTACAGAAGTCATCTTAATCCTGTGCGCCTCCTCTCTTCACTCAACGTGCTCTTTGCCTCTTTCCAGGTGGGTTCCAGCACAGTAACTATCCTCGTACGCTCACGGCTAGAGATACGATTCCTCTTTCAGCACTTTTGTTCGAAATTTCCAGAGCTATTGCTGTTCAGTCGACACTAGCAGTCATTACGTTATGCCAAAACAAGCTAGAACTATCTACACGGTATATTCAACTGTTACTGTCTATAGAACTTGGCATGCAACATAAAAAAGAGGGATGGGAAAATAGCACTTTTTTTTCCCTTATTGCACAAGAGATTCAAGTTCAAAGATTATGAGTAGGATGACCAGACGTCTCTGTTTCCCCGGGACAGTCCCAGTTTTGAGCCTGTGTCCAGATTTATCCAAAACCAGTGATTTGTCCCAGTTTTATACAAGAAATGTCCCAGGTGTCCTTATTTTGGACCAATTTGATCTAAACTAGGTCTAAACTAAGACTGAAACAGGACTGGGTCAAGACTGAACCAGGGTTAGACCAGGACTGAACCAGAACTACACCAAAGCTAAACCAGGAATGAACTAAGACTAAACCAGAACTGAACTAAGACTGAACCAGGACTGAACCAGGACTGAACCAGGGATAGACCAGGACCGAACCACAACTAAACCAGGACTAAACTAAGACTGAAACAGGACTGAACCAGGGTTAGACCAGGACTCAACCACAACGAAGCCTAAGATTAAACAAGGACTAAACTAAGACTAAACCAGGATTCAACTAAAACTGAAACAGGACTGAACCAGGGTTAGACAAGGGTTAGACCAAGGTTAGACCAGGACTGAACCACATCTAAATCAGGACTAAACCAAAGCTAAACCAAGAATGAACCAGGGTTAGACCAGGACTGACCCAGGAATGAACCACGATTGATCCAGAATTTAACCCAACTAAACCAGGACTAAACTAAAGCTGAACCAGGACTAAACTAAAGCTGAACCAGGACTAAACTAAGACTGAAACAGTACTGAACCAGGATTGACCCAGGGTTAGACCATGACTGAACCACAACTAAACCAGGACTAAACCAAAGCTAAACCAGGACTAAACTAAGACTAAGTCAGGACTAAACTAAGTCTGAAAAAGGACTGAACCAGGGTAAGACCAGGATTGATGCACAACTGAACCAGGACTAAACCAGGATTAATGCAGGGCTAACCCAGGACTAAACCAGGGCCAAACTAAGACTAAACCAGGACTAAAGTAAGACTGAACCTGCACTGAACTGGGGTTAGACTAGGACTGAACCAGGACTGATCCAGGACTAAACCAAAGCTAAACCAGGACTAAACTAAGACTGAACCAGGACTGAACCACAACTAAACCAGGACTAAAACAGGACTATCACAATTTTTGACTAATCAGATCCGCGCCAACAGTAAAGAGTAACGTAAATTGTCATTTGTTTGGCCAAATTTGCAAATGACCATCCCTCAGATCATGAGAATCCACAATGTTTCACGCTCTTTTCACTATTTTATTTAAATCAACCACCCCAACCCGGCTGAAAATCTGGTCACCCTAATGATGAGACATTCTAGGACAAAATCAGTCAGTAAAATAGTCTTACTACAAACAGGCCCAACCAGGATATCTGCTGAACCAATATTCGTTTTCAGCATTGGCGCATCCCTTTTAGAAATGTCCAAGAAGCAACACCAAGACCATTTAAAAAGTAAACAAAAGAACCGTGGAACAACCTGACAACCTGGTCCTTCCCAAAATCCTTCAAACAGCCAAAAACTGCTAGTTGATCCTCTCCTCAACTCCTCAAAAGAATCGCCGTTGCAATAGCGCAGCGTTGCAGATAAAGCATGTGCAGTGTCTCGGTTTAAAATGCCTTTCTGTCTTTCTGTCCACAGAGTTGTAATCATCATAAATGTCTCGGACGCCCACACCGCAGCGGAATGCCCCTGTCCAAGAACAAGAGACGGATTGTGCAACGGACACCGCGTCTTTCCTCATTGAAGCCATCGAAACCAGCAAAGGTCAGATTAGCATTTATCATAAAGTAATCTGACTGGAGCTGACAGTTGATTTTAGAGCTGGAATTGTCAAAGAAAATATCTGTCTTCACCACACCACTAGAGCAAAAACTTGGAAAATAGAATCAGGTCAAGCAGTTTGCCTTGGTCCAAAGTTATTCCTCCCTTGATGAGTTCTTAAGTACTTTTTACAACTTTCAGAAGAGACAGAGTGATCATTGTAACTATAACAACAACAAGCATGCTAACCACGCTCTTCCTGGTTGTTATTATTATAGACAATAAATCCCTTTATAATTAAATGCTGACAGTACACAGTGGACTTATTTTGGCCCTAAAATTTGCATGAAGACACGTTTTGCTCATATTAGGGGTATAACGGTACAAAAATCACAGTTCGGTACATTCCTCGGTTTTGAGGTCACGGTTTGGTTCATTTTCGGTACAGTATGGGAACAAACTGTAAAACCATTTGCTTGTTGTTTATTTGTGTGTTTATTGAACCAACAATTTGTTTTAACATCATACAAACAGGGAAAAAATAATAATAACAAAAAAAAAAAAAAAAACGCGCTGCTTGGTAATACTAATAAGTTCAATAAAATATTATCAAATAAGCAACAAATGTATGAGATATTATTACAACTAAATAATTCCTTGTAAACAGTAAACTAAACTTCTCAAAAAGTAAAGCGCAACACTAGCATGAACTTTTACTCAATCTTAAGACTTTGGGCAAGAAAAAAAAACTACTTGTTTGCAGTAAATGGGCCCGGTCAAGCAGAAGTAAACAACAAGGCCAAAAATTCAAGTTAATGCATCTGATCTAAAAATGTATTGAACAGATACATATGTACTCTAGTTTATGAAACTGTTGACCTTTTTTCTGTACCATTTTTGGTTCTAAAGTTCCATATGTTTTAAACAGACCATGTATGAAACATGGAACAAAAATTATTTCCCAAATTTCAAAGACCTGCAAATCATGTAAATAAATGGATGTATTTCATCATATCTTGTGTTATTCCATCTTTGAACTGTTGATGAAGGTACATGATTTAAAAAAAAAATATATATATTATTTTAAAATTAATTTTATTAATATAAATTATTATTATTTATATTAAAGTTTTCAGAAGAAAAAGCGACAAATGATGTAAAATCCTGCACCTTCTACTTGTTTGTACAATTTTCCCTCCGTTACTTTTCCCTCCGTTACCATGACCTTTCTTAATAAAAAATCTAATGACTCAAAAAGTAAGAGGTTTCTCAACCTAATCTTGTACCATATGGTAGAAAACTATATGAAGCAAATATTCAAACCAGTTTGTTAAGGATATGTAAGTGAGAACCAAGAGTTATCACTGTTTGGATTTATTGTCCAAAAAGTGCTGCATATTTCATTCCCTCCGTTACTGACATGAGTTTTTTAAATTTTTGTCAACAACTTGAAAGAATATCACAGGTTTAACTTGACCCTGTTGGAGTGTAACTCTTTCCTACATTCTGATACTTTACTTATTTCAATAGTCCCTCTAGTTTCTGAATAAGAGACATTTGAATGTAAAAATCTGCCCGTTTCCCTCCGTTACCACCTGACCGAACCCCAGTGCAGATCTGTTGCAGTTACAACAACCGCCAAGGCTGAAAATATACTGTCAGTAGGGACAGAAGTCTATGGGGGGTGGTGTGGGGGGGCTGCACATGTTAGAGGCAGAATGTTAACACACACAAACTGCAAATTGCGTGAATTCACTCGTGCACAGTCCTGCACCGAACCGAATGTCTCGTATCAAAACGGTTCACCACAGATACATGTACCGTTACACCCCTAGCTCATATACATGGAAATAAAAAATTTAAAATAAAAAATCTGGTACAGAGCCTCGTAATGTCCCTTTCAAGATTTTCTGAGGTGGGTAGAGTAGTCAAAAACTGTATTCAAGGAACAGTAGTTGCTTAAAAATAACATTACTCCAGTCAAGTGAAAGTAGAAAGTAAGAGTAGTTTACTGAACTATGTGGAAATGTCAAGTGTAAGATGGCTATAGTTGTAAGAATTACAGTATGTAAAATGTAATTTGAAGGACAAACCATTAAATAATGCAAACAATCTGACGTAGAAAGGATAGAGCACAAAAATTAGATGAACAAAATCATGTGCAAGAAACACAAATGTTTAAATCATTTAAAGGGCCTGTATTACACTATTTTCAGATCTATGTTAATAATATAATATGTCCTCATCATAAACAGACCTGGAGTTGTGTTTAATACACAAGTTTGTCACTCAAACAGAAAACATGATGTCATGTGGTAAAACAGAAAAAAAAAAAAAAAAACAGGTCCCGAGACATCAGATGAAAAAAAGAGGTAGAGTGGTCATTAAAAAGTCCAAAGCAGTAGTACAGGTGCTCTGCGAGGGTTAAACCTGAAATCTGAACAGACTGTTGCCCGTACTGGAAAATGTAAAAGTGGACAAGGTACACGGTTGGCCATCCTTTTTTGTCTCTTTTTCCTACAGTCAGGTGATGTGGTCACATGATTACAGTGTAATTGTATTTAATGGCACCTGACGAAGCCCTGACGAAGCCCTGACGAAGACCATCTTGTTGGTCGAAACAAGTTGGCATCCCTCCACGTAATAAAGGATTTTTGATTCATTCAGTAGGAGTGTCTCCGGTTTGTACCTTGCCCGCTTGTACACTTTTCAGTAAGGGCAACATTCTGTTAATAATTCCGCTCTGTTTTTTGATGAAGTAACATAACATGACTTAAAGCTCACAAGAGTCAATGTTGTGTAATACAGGAACTTTTGGAAATATTGTCAGCATGACGCTTTTGTCACCTGTAGACAAAACACTTCGGAAGAGTAACCACAACTTTTAATGTTTGCTTATTGATACAATGTATGAAAAAATGTCACTCACATAGGAGTTAAAACATGATGTCTGAAAACATCAATTACAATTTTACTGATTTGATGAGCTTTGAAGTTCCTTTCTCTGACTGAGAGAGAGTCAGTATTTTAATTCTGTTGAGAAAGGCCAAAATGCTATTCATATCAGTGCATGAGAAGAGGTTATGAATGAAAAATAACATTTGCTCCAGTCCAAACCCAGAAAGAATCACATTGAATTCCTGTGTTTCTCAAAATGGCCCAAACAAGTACCACAAGATGGGCCTCCTGGATTGTGTGGTCTGAGGTTGGACT